CTAATAAATGTGGTTTAGTTTCTTATTATTTTAGTGTTTTGTGTATTATGTAAATGACAGGCACGGAGTAAAAATGTTTATATATTATTACTATTAAAGGCAATGTAAATATATGACAAAATATTAAAACTACAACATAGTCTTGTAAAAGAATTTAATTCTAAACTCTATATATGCGATACCATTCGACAGTAATGTGACATGAAAACAAATCCATAGTTATTATTTCTTAATTTTATAATTTAGTCGCCATTTTAATTCTATTTTGATTCTATAAAAATTATATTCTTTTTGTATATTGCAACATTACAATCGTGGCGTACAAGTACATATATTAATAGCAACAGTAACACGGGGGTTCACCCATGAGTGTTATGATAAAAAATATCTGTTAATCCATCTGCATTTACAATTAATTGTCAATATGAATAGCGTCATATAAATTTAGATTCATATACGGCGTTAATTAAAATGAAGGCTTCAATAGGCTAACGTTTAATTAATTTATTAGATCTATTTAGATTTGGTACGAGCATTTGCTGTCTACATAATAATATGCTGTGTACAGCTGTTAATAAATTACATAATCATAACATCACATGTTTATATCTATGAAATTTACCCATCATAGCTAGTTCAAATTAATAAATAATAATTATTAATAATTATTAAATAATAATTAAAAAGTAATTGGACAATGAGAAATGTTTTAAAATACTTTGTTGTAAGAAGAGTTTATAGTAAAGGGAAATAATTGTAAGTGGATACATTGACATTTTAGTCAATGTATTTATAAATAAATATTTATATCGCCAGGATAATCCAATAACTTGACGCCGTGATGTTTATCTTATTCCTTATGCGGTGTCTACCTGCACCTGGGGAATATAATGTTAGACAAATTCACGAGAAATTAACCCCGATGTTTCTTATCGCCAAAGTATATTGAATTTTATTTCTTTTGCAAGCGATATTAATATTATTATGACTGTACTGAAAATTAACTAAGCTTTACGATCAAGAGGCCGCCACTAGTGTATGTTTCAATATTACAGTTTGCAATGTCTTCCGGCTAAAACCTACAGTCTGTGGTCATCTTAAATAGTTTGTATCACTTGGTTGAAACATATACAACAGTACTAAATATTATTTCGAACATGATCAATTTCGTACCAGATAGTGTTTTTGCGGGGAGTTCTTCTTCACGACAAAAAAGGAAGATTTTTTTTGCATCGCATTATCACTGGCGATGAAAAGTGGATTCGTTATGACAACCCCAAGCGCAAAAGTAATGGTTCTGCCTGGACAGCCATCAACATCCTTCGCAAAGCCGAATATTCATGGCATGAAGCTTATGTTCTGTACTTGGTGGGACCAGCAGCGTGATCCACTACTGAGCTGCTCAAGCCGAATTAAATAATCACGGGCGAATGTTATCGGACTCTACTCTGACTGCAAATAAACGTCGCATTGAAACAAAATCGGCCGAAATTCGAAGCAAGGCCCAACAAAGCAGCATGACAACGCTCGCCCACATGTTACAAAATCGGTGAAAATCTACCTAGAAACTCTGAAATGGGAAGTCCTATACACACCCGCTGTAATCTCCATACATTACTTCTTCCGACTATTACTTGTTCCGCTCGATGACATATGTGTCTGTCCCAGCACAAGTTTAATTCATATGAACAATCCAAAAAATGGGTCGATGACTGGATTGCCTCAAAAGACGAATCGTGTTTTCGAGCTGGCATCCGAAATTTGCCAGAAAGATGGAAAAACGTAGTGGCCAGCGATGGACAATACTTCGATTAATATGTTTGTAACCATTATTTTAAAATAAATCCGTAAATTTCGAAAAAAAACGCTCATTATTAATTCAAGTATTATACATAGTAATTTTCACGCGTCAGTATAGCATTTGTTTCTGTTTATTCAAATATACTCTTATGTATTTAAAGCGATTACATATTGAAATTACAGAATAAGAGGCATGACATCTTAGTCCTCTGGAATGCCAACGTATCACAGGTGTCAGATGATAACATGATGTACGTTTATGTATGTAGACGACATTTACCACTTACCTACAGCTGAGCCGTCAGCTTGTTTGCTATTCTAATTACATAAAATAAAACAAAAAGATACCTCCTCAATTGTGAAATATTGATTTATTATCATTACTAGAATAATTTTCATTATAATAATTTAGTCATAATTGTGATTTCTTAAATACTGCTAACTAGTAACTCTTTGTATTATTATATAGTTCTAGTTTCAAATCCTGCCCGCGAAGACGGCTGACATATATTCAGACATGGTTTACCATACTATTGGAACACGTACCCTTCTAATAATGTGATTGTTTTACATACCACGGGGGTGGTAGAATAGCTTGCTTCTCATTTGAACGATTGCCGAAATCTTTTTATGCGTATTTTTAAAAACTCCGCCCTATTGTCTCATGAATAGAAATTATACCAGCTTTTAAAAAAAAGGCCCATTGAAATCGGTTCAGATGTTTGCGAGCTAAGATGCCACAGACCTTTACAAATACACATTTGGCCTTCAAACTTATAATAAATACTCTTTTTGTGTCGGGGCATATAAAACAACGTTTGAAATTTTAATGCACCCTTCCGCTGTGATGAACTGATTTTCATTTGAATCCGAAACCCTGGACGTCTCGATTTAGAATCTACAGAAACTAGACGTTCTTGTTAAATATTTAATTCTATGTCCATTATGAGCCACCATTTATCAGTTTTCATATCTGTGTCGACCTGAAGTTGGCATAGATGATGACCACAGATGACAGTAGCATTTCTAATAGCATTTGGTTATGAATGATACGAGTATATTAATATTTCTAAATAGTAAAAACTGTTATAATTGATAAATACTAATATAATATTAATATTAACTTTTAAAACTGTTAAACATTACCTATCTCATATCTATATTCCATAATAAACTCTAGACTGAGTATTATTAGTATAGTGTAGCACTCACTGTGGCGGAAGGATTAACACTCCTCTACTAGATTGTTCAAAGTGTATATGTATATATGTAGTCTCTGCTTAAAGTAGGGTTAAAGATAAGTACATCATTAGAAATCCGTACAAATAGTACCCCTTGGGCTCAAGCTGCCCACGGCGATGATTTAAATAATAGTGTTTCTTCTGGTAATATTTTTATATACATATAAATAGACTTAAAAATATAAACTTTGATTCAAATCGTTGGGAGCTATTTCTGAGATAGAAATCAGAAATGGTATTGTATAAATTTATAGATTTACGAGTAATAGCGGCGGAAAAATATTCGTGATATTATATAGCTGTCAGGAATACATATACACCAATAAGCGCATATTTAATATATGTACAAGCACAGCAAATAGTTGTAGTGGTTTCCAAGATTACACTTCACAAACACTAATTCAGAAAACTGTTTTCCTAAAATTATGTTCTATATTTTACTATTTATATCTATTATATCTAATCAAATTATGGAACCAACTAGAAAACAGTTTTTATAGATTTACTTTAAATAAAGTTATTTAATATTTATAAATTTAATGTATGGCAATAAATATAATGTTAACGGACAGGAAAATTTTAACCTATGAATATATGTCATCGCCTATAACTGGAACTATGACTGTAGGTCATACTAACGTGAATTATTTCAGTTGGTCAATGTCAAACGTTGATAAGTTAACATCGGTGTACTAGGTTCCCAAGCACCGATGTAAATAACTATTTGAATATATGTTACTGGTTAGGTAAGTATATTATGTTAGCGAACTTGGGGATGAAATAAAATAGGCAATTGTAGATAGGTGAGACCGGTGAAGCGGAATTAGAATGAAGTGCGCGCCGCGACTCGCCGCGGCCGTGTGCCACGTCATTGCCGTGACCTACTGACATAGATCCGCGGGGCCGCCTGCACCGATATCTGCACGCGCGCCGCGCTCTTCCTCTACTGCCCCTTTAATTTTATCATATCAATATATAATTCATACATACTTTTTCTTTATTAATCATTTGCACTGTAAAATATAACTGGTAGGTACATTATATGTGCGAATTAGAATTATCTGTCATTAATTAAAATTAATACATAATTAAAAATCTTTTGTAATTAAATTCATTCACTTATTAGAGTATTTAACTATAAAAGTATAGACAGCATACTAAAATATTTAATTCAAATCGTTGAAATATGTAGTATTATGCAACGAATGACCTCGTTATCTAAATTGTGCACTTGACACGAATGTTGTTCCATTTCACTTTCATGAAGGTATAGTTATGTAGTTATTTCACGTCACTGTTTACTGTGTCGTCTGTCACGATTCATGGGATACAGTAGGTACTATTTGTGATTGTACTATCAATAATCTATATCTATAATGTACACATTTCGGCGCAGTTCTTGTATAAACTATTTTTTAATTTTTCTATTTGTATTATAAAATATTGTTCGGATATGTGAATGAATATATTATTAAATAGCACACATCAAAACAAATATTTGCTGCTTTCTAATAAGTGTGACAGTATGAGTAGTACAAATAATCAGATAATGTATAATGTTTTTTTGTATTCTAAAATAAAAGGATTTACCTATTTCTTAAATGAAACGATACACGAAGCACAATAGATCGTAATTTTAATTCCGCACAATTGATTAATGATTGTTTATTACATTTCACTCTTGTTTCGCAACAAATGGATGGCTAATGAAATAGCAAACATTTTTTCTGTTTTTATCCATCGTATTAATTCGTTTATGATCGGTTAAGTTCGACAATCGTTTTCTACGAAATTCGTCTCAGTGAGCGAGATCGTGGTGGTTCTGCTATGTATGAGTAAGCGTGGGTGTGACTGGAGCAGCGATACTGTTCATGTTCAGTCCAGTCAGTCAGTCCAACTAATCCTGCTCGCAGCGCCGCCGCTGTCGCTGCCACAGACGTTTTGCGTCGTGCCGGGCTATGTTGATAATTTGTGAAGCGGTGAACGAAAAGGACGTATGTATACATACGTCTCGTCTTTCAGTTGACTTTCATCGTCGTTTTGTAGCGAACGTTTCGCACGGATATCGATAAGAAATTGCAGAATCGCTACGTAATAAACTTAATGCATGTTTTAATGGAAAAATATACTCGGTACAAGATCGAATACTGGACTAATAAGTTTCTATAACAGTTGAAAATTATTTCATATGTAGTGTGATATCTAGAAATCTCCATAATAAAAAATAGCGTCGCGGCGAGCGTGGCGCAATGCAGTGTATGTTTGGATACGGACACAAACTGTACTGTCCCAAGGTGGTACAGAGAGACGTTTGTCTCAAAAGTGGATGTGAGCACTCGTGGAGTGCGTTATAGTCATGCTACCTATGGTGCAGCCGGAACCAGTGATCTTCAACTGCGGAGGTCACTCTGTCAATGGGGCCGCCGCTCCGTTGGTCACGTTACCTCCATCATTCACACCGGAGTCTGACGTAGATGAACTAGTAGACATCTTTTTTGATGTTGATGTTGGAGTTAACACTTTTCCAAGGTAATTAAAATGCACCGAGCTGGGTGAACACTAGTGAACAGTGTGTGTATATCGAAACTCCTCAATGCGAACACGCCAAAATTAGTTACTTTGTTGAAGTCATTGTCAAAAGTTCAAAACACGTGTATTTTTTTCAACTTCGGAGGGTGATAGTGTTTATCTAATAATGGTGAAATAGGTCTATTAGACAAGAGTCATATAGACGAGAATCATATTTTTAAAAACTTTGTCCTATGCTCTAAATTGAATTCTATTTTACATAAATATAATCATTAATGAGAAACAGGGATGTGAAGATCAATAGTGTATCGCCTAATATAAACATTTATATTTGGCTTAATTATATTGAATCATGATGCATGTGTAATTCTCTTATCTATTCTACATCATACATATCACTGCATTCTGGAATCATAATGAAGTCGTCTTATAAATGTTATTTTACTCCCTTGAGACATCTATATCTACTAACATTATGAAAGTGAAAGTGTGTTTGTATTTTACTTTTTCATTACTAAACGGCTGAACATTATATTTGGCAGTAAAATTACCCTGTATAATGGCAACGCACTAGGGTTAAAACGAGTTTCACATTGTGATGTCCGTGCTGGCGCTTTTCATGTTATTTTCTATAACCAGGTTTCACAACACCGTGAAAAATATCAAAACAACTAAACACCAGTACAATGTTACAAAATAACCTGACATAGAATGTTAGCGGGTCACTGAATGTAGATAAAATTAATAATTACTAAGATAAGAGAAACTGAAATAAACAAATCGATACTAATCCTTAAACTAAGATTTGAAGTGGCTACAATGTATATTTACTCATATATTACATAGTTTTGCTGCAAATACTGTTACAAAGAAGTCATCCTATTGCATCAAAACATATTTTTTCTATTTTAGTATAATCGTATTTATTAGGTAAAATTCAGAAGCGATTAAAATTGATCCTACTGACTTTTTTTTTAGTTCCGATCCGACTTTGTCTTTTCATATATACAATAGGTACTAATTTTAGAAAGTAATGGTGTATGAATATAAAGTATTATTTTCTTCTTTCTGTAGACAGATTTTTTTTGATCTGTTCATTCTTTTTTGAAATAAAGAAATTAACAAAAAGTTTTTTACTTTTTTTTTTCTGAGAGTACCCAATGGAGTCCTCTTTTAAGATTATATATTCTAATTTAAGGCATGGGGGCATTTGTAGATTCCACATTTAGGTGCCTAGAAAATCCGTATTTTAAATAGCACAATTTTTAAGAAATTGTTAAATATCTACCCTTCACAAAATCTATATTCCATACTAATAATATAAATCCCAAAATGCATCTATCCGTTTGTTACCTTTTCTCAGCTGAAAGTGTGAATAGATCTATCGTTATCGTATGATAGATGTTGAGCGATGCTGTTACAACTTATTCATAAAAATATAGCTTAATTTTGCCTACATAGCATATACCCTATAAATGACACTTAAGACTTGAATTGATGAATGCTCACATTTAACTGCAATTACTACCCGACAAGCTTCTTTAGAGCTGTCTGCTTTAGATCTATAAATATGCTCTTTATTGTAATATGTAATATATAAACTTTCTTATTACAAATTGAAAACTAAAGGTAAACTTGAAAAAAATTACAGAGACGTATTTTATAACCATCAAATGTCGTCATCTTTTAAAATACTCGAAATCGTTACGGTTGTATCTGGAATAAGAGATGTTTAGTTGATTTTGCAACATAGTCAGGAACAAACAATTGGAATTTTAGATCAAGTATTTAGCCATTGTCGAGAAAACAGGTTTGAGTATCACACACAGACGTTGTTGTTGTCTAAAAATCGTTGAAGTCTTTCCTCTCTTTTTATATAGGTAATCTTTGGACCCTTAAACATAATAAAAATATATTTGATACTACCGGAAAATAGGGTAGAAACTGTGTTCATGTCCGAATGTACATTGTGTGTGGAGAGGTATTCATAATCTATAAAACACTGTATTTTATCCTCTAATGTTAAAAAAACATGTATAAAGAAATAAAGAGTTTTCTTTTTATGGTATATTTTATCAAGGATAGTAATAAAAATACGTAGTAATAAATTTACACAAAGGCCAAAATATATAAATAGGTTAGTTAGTAGAGGGCTTAGTTTTTTATGAATACATCGCTTAATTATTACAACGATAATCACGATAAATATTAGATACACCTGCGGTCTTGACCTTGTTAATATTTCATATTAAGGTAATGATACAAAATAATACTTTTAGAATATAAATACATTTTTGCTGGTTAACAGATATATGTGAGCAATTTGTCTTTAAAGAATGATTTATGCGATTTACCTAAAATTTTGCATTCAATATAATTTATTGTATAGTTAGCCCTATGTAAATTGTATCCAGAGCTCTAGGCGCATTTAGTTAGATTTATAATATTAAAAGTATAACTGCTTCCCAGTGAACTATTGATTATAGTAAAGAAACACAATCGAGGATACAATGTACAATAAAAGTTAAGCCGCTAAATATTAAAATAAATTGTTACACACGCGAACTTTCACTAAGAGCCAAGCTCATTTTTGACAATCATATCGCAATATTTCTCAAAATTATAGTAATATGCCAGAGGAAGACTTTTTCCAAGCATGCAGCGTATGTAAATTTCATCTATTTCAACTAGCCTTATTACAGCTTCCTTCTAAGTCGGGTTTCTGTTTAAGGGTAAGATAAGACAGTGAAATTACGAGAACTGAAAAGGTATGATATTTTAGTCCTTCGGAAAGAAACGCTTGAGCGGTATCACGGGAGACATGATAACGTAATGTCCGTAGTGCTGTTTATGTATATTAGCAGCAGTTATCACTTACCATCAACTGGACCGTCAGCACCATTGCCAGTCCCATTACATAAAAACGTTGTGTTTCGGTAAAAGAAGGGATATGCCATTGAAATTTCAGGGTGTCGGGCTCAACTTCTTAGTCGTCGCCATAGGGCGTCAAATGAAGTGATATCTGTTGCACTCTTCATTAATTAGCTATTTACCACCGGATGGCCCGTTTGTCATTCCATAAATATAAATAAAAGAAGTACTAATGTGACAAATGTATCATCAAAAGTATCAACAAGTAGAAGTGATAATGAAGAAGCCAGGAGTAACCAGCTGAACAGATAGGTTCTTAAGTATCGACCTTGTGTAGGAAAATGCAGTGTACGACTTGGAAATATTGAAAAATCGATGAACACTGAGTGGCATAATATGCGACAGCCCACACAACAGCGAAGTAAAAAGTTCTGTAGTCTGTGGGGCTTACCTATGTTTTTAGTGGGCTATAGGGAGGTTGTGAATGACAAGATTCACAACCTACCTATTGTTCACTAAACATTCTTATTTATACTTACATTGTAGTGGTTATTTAAAAAAGCAGACAAAGTGGCGAAGAACTAGTATTTTCGAATAACGTATTATGTAACGTATAATATTCGTACAATTATAGCTTTCTAATAATTCGATTGTTCGGACAAACATTAAATACATGGCAACTTTATTTACTTTACTACCAGGCCAGGCATAAATCGTTTAATTTACTCAGTTCGAACTATAGTATAATGATACAGCAATATAACTTGAGTAACCGATACTTTTTTCATGACGATGTTGGAATAATGATACCGTATACAATCATTATATTTAGATAAAAGGAGTTATTAATCTATTATAAAGCGACTTGTATCAATTAGCACACAGCCAATATTACTAAACTAAATAGTTTACTGGAAATTCACAGAACAATATTGATTATACGTATGCCAGCCGTGGCAAACACTTAGTAAATAAATGAATTTTGAAATGTATATACCATATAAAAATAGAATGTGGTGCAATATAATGCTATGACAGACGGTTGCACGGGAAGATTAACAAGTTGACGGAATAGTTAAGGCAATCCTAATTAGATATGTCCAACACATATTTGAATAAACCAACTTACGACTTTGTCTATGAAAATTTATTTTTCTGTTTTGGACAACTCTATATACCTACCTAATATTAGAATGCATGCATTTATTTTTAAAGAGCATTTTTCCCTGAATTTGTTTTGTAATTGGTTTTTCAATGTTAATAAGTAGCATCCTTGATTTTATACTGATCAGTCAAAGGTTATCATCTCTGGTTATGATTGTTTACTTGTTTGCTCATTATTGGCACCGAGAATATTGATATTCAAACTTTTCCCAATAGGACTTGTTTTGAACATTCTTGTGGACTACAATTCTGACTTGGTGTAAATATACTTTACACATTTTTGTTTTCTATGATGATACAAATATGGTAAAAGGAGAATATTTTTTTATGATGTCGTTTTGTAAATGTAAGGTTAAATTATGTCGGCTTCATACCGCATGTTATTCATATATGTATTTGAAGTCCTGATATTTCAGCAGTATTGCAAGTCCATGATCACGACTGAAGTGAAGATGATAGACAAATATGTGTGCCGCTCATAATCTACATTCAAACGTCATATTCATTGTCAACAGAATTTTCAGAATTTTAGTTGATGCTCATCTCACTACACTATACTCATCACGGCATGCTAGATAGTTTTACTTAATTTTAGTTTTAATCAACGCAATCACCGAATTCCACGTGTTTAGTCATCTTTCTGATTGAATTTATTTGTTACGAATCCTGCTTTCATCGTACTTTGAAATGATGTCGCTCCGCCTATTATCATAAGTTGTTGTAACTTAGTACAATAATTAGATCCCAATCTAGCAAACGTTCTTTTGTTACTGATTTTTTGAATTTATATGTACCTCAATACGATGCGCTATAGACATTATTTTAAGTTGCCACAAGTGGCGCTGATTTTATAAAGGTTTTTTTAAGTAATGGGAATAACTTAACGGCCCGTCTGATAGTAATCTGTAACTGTCGTCCATATACATGGACTACTACCACTATTTCGCCATTTCAGAGGACTAAGATGGCATGCTCTTATATTGTAATTTCACTGCTTAATCTGCATCCTACAATCTTAAACACACTTTTTACAGTCTACCTCTGGCTTTCTAGAGGAAAATCTTCAGAAATCTAAATCTACGTATTCAACATAACTAATGTTAGAGTTTCGCAAATCTTAATATAAAACAAACTGCACTGACGGTAGTGAAAACCATAAACTTCATAAAATTGCATCATTAACAAAAAGCTATGAAAACAAATGAACCCACGACATTCCATGAACAGTACTAGTTATTGTCCTACGATGGAAACTTCGGATATTCGCAGAACTTTGCTAATTTAGTTCTCATCATATGTTTATCCAATTCAATTATAATCTTCAATATACTGTCTTCACTATCATTAAGTAATATATAAAAGGTAGGCCGTCATAAACTGTGATGGTATGGAAATGTATGTCATAAAGAGTCTTAAATTCATATTAAAACAAAATAGACAAAACACAGTATATAAACATACTATAAAAGTTTTCGGAGTTTATGTTGGAATTTGAAATAACGCTACTATTTTGAATACTGAATAATTTAATCAGAAATAAAAAATTAAAATAAAATGAAATTTGGTTGTATATCTGATGCTACAGTAATTTTGGCTTTCAAGTTATGAAGGGTTTTCAAGACAATCTAGGAAGATTCACCATGCGAAAATGGACGTGTGTAAAAAATGAAAATCTGTACTACATATTTACTAAAGACTCGTTGTGGGATTTAATGAGTTAAATATATATTTTGAAGCACTTTAATTAGTATACTTCCTACTATAAATGTAAGAGTCATAATATACTATATAACGCACAATGTAATAGTGGACACCGTTTGGTCCACCTCCCATATAAAGATTGTCAGTGTTCTTTGTTAGATTTGTTTGATATAGCAAAATAATAATAATTGTGCAATTTGCGAGACGCAGTTGGACAACTGCGTCTAATAATTATTATTTTGCACCACCCAATGACAATTACCTGTTGAATGACAATTGAAAAAGCAAAACCTTCATCCGTAGACGCTTACGATACCAACTTTCACCTATTTCGATTCGAATCAACTACTGTGGCCGTAGCGCTAGTTTCTTATTTATTAGGAAAACAATATTTTTTAGTTATTAAGTTTAAATTATTTCATGGGATGGATATATCTGAATGATATCGACTACCTATTACTTACATATAAGAAAACCCTTTATTATAAAAAAAATCAACAGACAGAATATTCGCATGTGTTATATCAACATTCTAATCTAATGTATCCAAATACATGTTATGTGATCTGTTTATCGACATTGGTAGTAGTACTTCTGTACTTAGTCAGTCGGCATCATTTCCGGCATTTGATATTTCTCATTTGTTCTTTGTTGCACACATGTAGCGCAACAAATAAACAAAAGAACGTCCCAAACACACAGGATGTAGGCGCTAGCCATGCTAGGAGCTGGAGGCTTCAAAATTTTTCGAGAATTATTTATTATACTATTTCTGGTCACGCTTATGGCGCGTTGTTGTTATTCCGAACATTATTATTTCAAGGTTGCGCGGCCGTCGCAGTGAGGTTGCGTAGTGGGGCTCCTCGGTAGGCGTTCAACTGGTATCTCTGTCCCTGTTTCGCATTAAGCTTCAGTTGGCTTGCTCTGTACTTGGCGTTTGATATGTATGAGTCGAGTCAATGTGAACATAACTAGGTATTCCTTGATAGCAAACTATTCTTTCACGATAATGTACACATCAAGCTGAAGTTTTAACAAAGTAAATAATGTAACCTACCAATGAATGGATATTTTGTAATATAAAAACTTGTATAAACAAATAGCCAGCTACCTCAACGGCATTAAACAAATATGAGTCATACATTTGTACAACAATAATTATTAGTGATTGGGGAATTGTTTGAATTGTCTATCGTTCATCTGGGTAGGTATCTAGGTAGGTAGATAAAATAAATTGCAATGGCTTTTCAAATGCAAATTTGTTTCCCTTCATTTTCATTATTAGCATGTATATAAGTGGATTATTAAATTTCAATTTTACGTTATGCATATTTAAACAAAATATAAACTTCATATGCCCATGTATGTTGTTTTTATATTTAATTGATCATCAATAATTAAAATAACATTAACAGCTTATTTTTTTGCTGCTTCTGTAGAGTTGAATCCTGTGAGCTCCAACTGGGAGACACATGGAGGGGGATGCAAAGCAAGATGAGCGTGACAGCGCCGGTTAAGAAGATAAGAAAAAAGTCAGACAATAAACCGCAATCTCAAATGTACGTATGAGTTTAGGTGTTTTTATACATTTTGGGGTTTATCTTGTTTGCTTTTTCGAACATTCTACACTTTACACAATTTACCCATGACTTATTTATATTACATATTTATTAGTTGAATGACTTACGGAGAAAAAATAGGAAAAATAAAAAAAAAATTAATTATATGTAACTTGTGTCATATGCCGTATCGTAAAAACACATTATTCTCTTTAATTTCCGATTTGGCCTGGGCCTAACATTATATAAGATTCCATACTTCAAATTGATATAATCAGTTAATAGCATCAGTTCAAAAGTACCTTATTTCTTACTAATTATAAATGCGAAAGTTTGTGACTATGTATGAATATATGTATGGATAGATGTTTGTGACTGTTTCATCCAAAATCTATAGAAAGGTTTTTGATGAAACTTTACACTATTATAGCTTGTAGGTACATCAGAATAACTAGAAAAATACAGAGGCTATAAATTTCATGCGGGAACAGCTAGTGACGAATAAAGGACTATATTAAGCATTCTGAAAAGAACATTAGTAATTGATTACATTTTAATACTTTTAATTAAGCTTTAGGAAATCTACACTAATAAAACAATAAGAAAAATGTGGTTTCGTAGAGAAGGCTCTCCAAAAATGTTTTTGGTGAAGAGGATTAAGTACAAAACTACTAGCTTTGAGAAATTCTCTTACTTTTTGAAATATATATTATTACAATTATTAAGTGCCATTCAAACGGATATAAAACTGTGCGAAGGCAGGACGGGCTAGTAAAGCATAACACGTGCGACGTGAAAAATATAATTTGATAACTTAATTAACGTAATGTTACATAATTTATATTCTAACTTTTGACAATGGCTCGGTGTAGGTTTAATTTCTCATTAATTCTTAATTAGTAGCGTTTGAAGATTCACCTTTTTATCGTAATAGGTATTTTAAATTAAAAATGAATAACGTCACGGCTTAACGGTTTACTACTCCTTATAGGCAGCGAATGCAGTGAGTTCGAATCAGGCCCACACCAAAATTTTTTGTCTTATAACAAAACAAATAAAACACGTCAAATAAGCGAAATGTGGCCAAGTCACAACGACGTTAATAGTTGCTACTATCTCTAACGACCCTATCTATGATTACAGTCGCGACAGTACGTTATTGACATTCGGGTATAATTATAAGTAGTTTAGATATTCGAAATACATGTATTTCATAATATTATATCATGACTTCATTATGTAATCATTCATACACCGAAGTGGTAGTGTCCTGTACAGTATTACATTATAGATTTTAATGTTATCCTGTCTATTAATTTATGTATGTCACTTAGATAATTTTGATAATAACTGGACCTACTTATTTTTTGTATAACTACCTCTTAATCCTCTTTGATCTCTGATCTGTTCTACTGATACAGGTTTACGAAGTGTGAGAAAAACCACGTTGTTACTTTATATTTATTATCTATAAAATGTGTATTTTTTTAGAGCGTGTTAATTTATATAGTATTAGTCTACGTCATATAAGAATGTATACCCATTTCCCTTGGTAAAACCATAACTGGAAAACTTAATTGATTTCATTCGTTAGAGGCTACTTGGAATGAAAATTAATTGAAGAAAGAATAATGCTTAGAAAACTAGGAAATCCATAAACTTAACGACTATTTTAACTTAATATGCTTAATGAAATTCGCGCATTTACAAACACAAGACTTCGTCTGTCGGGTCAGATAGTCTTAAGGAAAAAAAATATCTCGATTTTATGAAGTGTTCTATAAGTGAACTGACCAACACACGCTGGGTGTACTATAATAGTACTCTTTATATACTTTGATTGATAAAAGGTAGCACAACAATATTTCGCGTATATTTACTTAATGTAGAACATACCTAATGTCTGTTCTTATTACCTTTAGTTAATATATGTTGCTGTTCATTAACGTAAGGAAAATGCGGTCAGAATAAATAAATTCGTTTTCATGATAGGAAATATTAGTATGGCACCTTTCTGATTTTAATACATTACACTACCTTAAATGTGAGTAAGTAATACAAATCTTATCAGCCTATTTAAAAAAATATGTTTATCGCGTTTCATTCATTTTATTTTTACGTATAAATAGTTTATTCATCATGCAATGAAAATACTTAAATGAGCTTATCACTTAAGATTCAAGAGTTATATATTATGTATAAGATATGAGGACTTTGTTGATATCGTGCTCTTCGTATAATTTTGGCCTGTTTAGTCGCGTACTTTGCTCATTATTTATACAAACTGCACAAACAACTAATTGACTGCAATTTTATTCGCCTAAGCTACGTGTACATTTATCAGCTTGATGTATCAATTTCAAGAAAGGTTTTTTCGGAGTTTCTTAACTTGTAATTCTTAATCAGGACTTAGACATTCGTCCCGGAACTCGTTCTTGATATTGTACTTTTTCTTCTTTTTTTTATAATAAAGAAAGAATAGAATAGAATAGAATAGAAAATCATTTATTCAAATTAACTTACATTGAAGCATTTGAAAAAAATTTTTTTTAATCTTCATCGGAATGCTGTCTCATCACAAGAAGAACAAGCAAGAAACTTGTGTGTTGCATTTTAAATAATTTATTCTTATAAATAGTTTAGTGTGTTCATCGATTGCACTAATGATGAAATAATAAAATAGAAAAAACATTCAATATACAACAACTGGTTAAACAATTAACAAGAGAAATAAGTATATATTAGTGTATAAGATGACGGATGAGCCAGCCACCACTTTGCTCGATATCGTGCTCTTCGTATAATTTTTGGCCTGTTTAGACCACGTCGTACTTTGCCTCATTATTTTATACAAATGCTGCACAAACAAAAACTAATTTCATATTTTAAAATAATTGAATCGCAATGAGATAAACAAATTATAACGTTGTATGCTAATAAACTAATTATTTATGATATGTTGTCGTCTATGAATGTCTATCCTGTAATAGGCTTTCTTACAAAAAATTGTTTAATATAAGATTTGAGCCTCTCTGTCAGAACAGATTCTGGCAGTTTATTATAAAATCTTACGCAATTACCATAGAATGAATTACTGACTTTGTGCAGGCGGTATGTAGGTAAAATTAGCTTATTTTTATGGCGTAAGTTTCTATTTGTACAGTCTTTAAGTTTTCTAAAACTCTCTAAATTCTTCCGTGTATACATGATATTCTCATTTTTTATAATAGGATATTTGAATCTTTAAAACAGAAATAATAGATTACAAATATGAAATGCATGGGAGCAATTATCATGTGTATTTTAAATGCTCCATTTTAATGGACTTTAGAATGAGTACTAAATATAGCACAGAGACAAGATTGAAACAATGAAATACACATTTGAATGTTTGTAGAGCTATGTATCTTGCTTCGCCAAGGTTCTTGCAGCGCTCATCCTATATAGTGAGGCATGGTTAATACGCTAACGCGATCAGTGAGATGGGACTCACTTGTTCTATATACACGCTGGTGCATACTTATTTAAGTGCACATTATAATATGGCAATATTGTAATCTCGCTGATATTTTAATAATTGTATAAATTACGTGGTATAGTTATTATGAAATCACGCGATTATTCTAATTGTTTATATTGCGGGGAAGAAATCAGCATTGAACGTGGTAGGAGTTACATAATGGAATATAAGGAACGAATTTAGTATTTATCATGAATATTTAAAATTAAAAAAAAAATTCGTTAGCAATATTTTTGTAGTGACATTGTAGTGATATATTTATAAAAAAAAAAAAAAATAATCCGTGCGATAGCGGGACATATTTACACAAGAGGTTTTATAAGCTTTTGTGTAAATTATTCATACTTTTTTTATCTGCGCCTCCATTTCGTTCCGGTTAATATGTGATCTACTTTACATGTAGAGCCATGTATGCATGTATTCCGTCAGATGGGTCATCAACTAGCCGGCCGTGTCAAGTTATAAAAAATATACGAGCAACAATGTATGTTGAAATTAGTATAGATATAAGTCAGTCTGATAAGAATGCAATATTATTGTGACAGTCTTGAATCGCAGTCAAGAAATGCCGAATAAACTGATTACAATGTTCGTTGATTACGCACTACGGAATAAATCTGTTGTTAGTTGACAATGCAAGAGTGAGATGAATACCAACATTTTGTTCTGTGTATAAAGAGTAAATGAATCGACACCTTTTCAAACATAAATTTATATGGACCATGACGATAGTTAGATATCTAAAAAATCCGTAAGAATAATAATAAATTGACATAGTTTTTTAATTTTTTAATATGTTCTGATATGTACGGTAAACAATCATGAATGAACCAAAATATACAAGTATATATTCTGTATTAGGATTTTCATGAAAATATTTTAAATATATATTTTTTTTGTTATTACTATTTTTTATTTGTATAAGAAAACATGAGTGATCAAACAACGTGGTGAGCTTACTTTCACTAAGAACTTTATAATTAGTCGTGATGTAGTTCACTGACATAATCATTAAAATGATCCGGCTATTAGGTAATTTATAATCTATTGAAAAAATTAGTTTTATTTTTAATCAGCCGAGCTACATATATCCAAGTGGTAGTCAGTAAAATCTTAATTAAGTATTATATTATTATTATTTTGCTATTCTCCTTTTGATGGGATACACCGAATTATCTTTGCCGCTAAAAATTATTAAGCAAATATATATATAAAAGAAATGATATTGATTTTTAATGTGGAGACATACTATGTGTTTTAACTTTATTTGAATAGAGGTTATTTCTGCTCTTCGCATATGATTCTGTACTGGAACTGTACTTCGAATTACAGTTTGAATAATATCAGATTTATTTAACTTTGTCAGCAAAAGGGCTTGAAATTTTTCAATTAATGTATTGTTTTTTAGCAAAGAGATATACATTTTTAAAAAAGTAAATAATTACCGATACGTAATCATCATCTGTTTTTAAATAATGATTGAGATATTTTTGCTTATAGTAGATATAATTTTGTTAGTGTTTTTAAATAATGATTGAGTTTGCTCATTGGTGGCATTCTAACTTTTAATTTCATAATTTTTCACAAACGTATCGTGTACGTACGTTCCCTAAATTGAGGAAATTAATTAATTACATTTGTTGTACAATACTGATTTTCATCAATAGTTCTTCTGCACTATGACACAACATTTATACATACCAAATACTACATCAATAACTACAACAATTCTACAATCATAATTTATAATTTTTTAATATTTATGCGTTTCAGAAATAAGTGTAACAACGAAAAGAAAAGACGGGAACTCGAAAACGAAACAATAAATCAGCTCGAGGAGCTCCTTGGTACATGTTTGGCCGAAGTTAAGCAGCCGGATAAGAACGGTATCGTCCGCGAGGCCACCCGTCAGATTCAGGAGGTGCTGAAGCGACGGCGTCAGTGCCCCGGCGAGTGCCCGCTGCGCGTCGCACAGTGTCTCTCGCCCGTCCAGGCTGGTGAGGTCAGCTCTACGCAGCCACAACCTCTGGCGTCTGGGTTGCATTATTCAGAGATTGCAACGCTTATTGAGGTGTGCATATCATTTTGTTATTTCAAACACTTAAATGCTTCGCTATAATAGTGATTTAGAATCAATTTAAAACACGATTAAAGCATCAGTTTTTAAATATTTGGTGTAATAGTAGTCACCGTCATTATCAATTGTCATTGGTGTGGTAGAATTAACACTTGACATGCCCACATATTGCTGTACGAATTTGATTTTAATATCACATGGGGCGAGGTAATTGCCGTGTCTCGGATTAATTACATTTTTGTTAAATGAAATTATTATAAATAAGTACACTAATGATAAAATATTGTTTTAGGCGCTTAAGCATTATACTGGAAGCCTCGGTTGGGTTTTATTGGAAATAAACTCAAAAGGAGAAATTGAATGTGTAACCGAAAATATAAAGGAACTTGTTCTGCAGGACAGAACAGATTTATATAAAAAGTCAATATTCTCTATTTTGCATGTCAACGATCAAGCTAAGTTAAGACCTTTGTTAAGAGACATACAGACATTTACGTGGAGTGCGGGCGAGATTGATAAGTTTCAAGCCATTCAAGCCCGGCTGCTTATCAAGAATCCTAATGGTACTGACGGATCTGGGTAAGTTTATATCTTTTATACTAACATTTACTAGGACCCTATACCAACTGGCGTCTAGTCTAGCGTCTAGTTATATACAAAATATATATGTTGCCCTCGGTCGTTATTATTACGAAAAGAACAGGTGTAGTTTCCGTAATTATGTAATTATTGATACGTTAACAATGATACCTAGAGAATTTTATGTTAACTTGTGAATTTGTTAATTAGTTGCTAATTATTGTATTAATTTATAAGACATTTTTTGTCTTGCAATGAGATACCGATAGTGGCAGTATCTTGAGCACTGTCTAGTGGTCTAGTGTACCAATTTACATATTTGATACCAAGTTTTATTTATTTTACTAAAACATTTCTGCACGCTGTATTCTAAGTAATGTTCTATATTTTTATTTTTTATTACTTAAAGTGTTATTTGTTAAGAAATGTTGTAGCAATATGTTATAGAGATCGTTTACTTTTTAGATACATTGATATTAGTTGAACATTATCTGTTTATAAATATATTTCGCTATTTCATTCTGATAGTCAATCGTGTTGGACGAACGATAAGATGTCGATTACACCTATCTATATTATAGCTTGATACACGAATGAAAGATACAAGTAGCTGTTGATTTTAAATAGAAGAATTATTGACTATTGACTGTTCATATGGTAATCAAATACTACAAAAGTTATATTTACGTTTATAATTCATAAAGATTATTAGTTTATTTTTGCTCTCATTAGCATACAGTGTCTAAAAATCTACTTCAGTTTATATAACTTTCCGAATTGAATAGATATGTCGCACTAAAGCATGGGGGCGTAATCTAGACTAGTACAGTTTCATCAGCAGGTTATATGAAATTAATTTATTTGTCACGCAAAAATAATATTTCATATGTATTATATTAAGCTACAAGTTCTAGATAAAAATAAGCGTTAATTAAGTTAGACTAATAAAATATACAACTGTCATTCTTGATATACATGATTCATTTAATGTAGCTTTGACATGTAGTGCCAGAAATAGATGGAAGAACAACATTGGAGACAGTGATACTTTTGGAGTCACGACTCAGTCATGACGTACCCGATCCATGACAGAGTAAACATGATATACATTTAATTTATCTTTGACATGTAGTGCCAGAAATAGATGGAAGAACAACATTGGAGACAGAGTAAACATGATGACACATACATGATTACAATTTATCTTTGACATGTAGTGCCAGAAATAGATGGAAGAACAACATTGGAGACAGTGATGCTTTTGGAGTCACGACTCAGTCATGACGTACCAGATGCATGACAGAGTAAACATGATATACATTTAATGTATTTGTGACATGTAGTGCCAGAAATAGATGGAAGAACAACATTGGAGACAGTGATGCTTTTGGAGTCACGACTCAGTCATGACGTTCCAGATGCATGACAGAGTAAACATGATATACATTTAATGTATTTGTGACATGTAGTGTCAGAAATATATGGAAGAACAACATTGGAGACAGTGATACTTTTGGAGTCACGACTCAGTCATGACGTTCCAGATGCATGACAGAGTAAACATGATATACATTTAATGTATTTGTGACATGTAGTGTCAGAAATATATGGAAGAACAACATTGGAGACAGTGATACTTTTGGAGTCATGATACAGCCATGACGGTACCTGCATGCATGACAGAGTAAACATGATATAGGCACAATTATGAAGCACGGTATTATTCGTACTAAAAACGCATAGTGCGTTATTAGCAATTTTAATTACACATCTAATCTTTGTTAGGTTTGTAACTAAACACACGTACCGTAACAAAGGACAGACGCACTCTTTTATTCACTACAACACCGTCCACGCCCCGCAATTTATCGTGCAGTCAATGTGTCCTGCGTTCTCGTTAAAGATTCACGTGTTTATAAATGGTCATTCTTCTCATAAAGCTATTTAACATTTACTCTGGCGTCGAACAATAATTATTAAGAAGTAGTGTTATTTAAGGTACGTGGAAGCAGTGATCCACGCTGCGCCAGTGCGCGGCTCGTCCTCGGAGGAGGCCGGCTCCGTCATGTGCGTCATCCGGCGCTGCGAGGACGCGTCGGCCGCACTACTCCCCGTCGACGGCGGCCCGCCCGCCATCACCACTAAACAAACTGATCATATCGTCTTTAGATTAGACTGCAACTATATCATTCTGTGTAAGTTATTTAAAAGCCTATTATATAAACGAGTCCTTGTTGAAAGTAGTAGTTGGCTGGTGGTATATATAATACACTATGTGGTTGTTCAGAGAAATGGACAAAATACATATTCCAATTATCATCATATTTTAGATTCGTAAGGACTAATGTGTGTCACAAATCTATTAATTTTAACTCCATTTACTATTGTATAAATCAAAACAGCTGTGCACAACTAATCGGCAGCAATGATACAAATGAAATGAAGATACCCATTTTAATTGAGACTAGGTCATGAGCAGGTCACGACATTGTCCAATCTTCCACTTGTTGGATCTGTTATTTGAGAACTGTGATCTATGTAATTAAAAATGATACCATAATATTATTATTTTAAAATACTGTACAAAAACCGGGTCTACTATGAAATAGTAATAAAAAATCAGTTTCTTCCTGGGTCTGAATCTTCATCGTGTAGAGATGAATGTTTTCAAAAATTCAGTTAATATTTATTCTTAAAGTGTTGTTTAAAATTTTCTTTCAGCTTGTGACTTAAGTGGCGTGGAAAACTATATAAACTCTCCTTTGTCTCTCGTGGGCACTCGCTATTTGGAACTAATCGAAAGTGTTGATCGTGTTCGTGTGGTGGCACATCTACAGCAAGCTGTTAGTTATCCCGCGCCGCCGACTATCAGTGGTCCTTTTCATATACGTATTGGTGTGGATCGACCTTGGCTTAGAGTCAGCGCTCGATCGCGACTGTTCCGGGCGAAACCTACTTCGGGCGAACCTGACTTCATAATGTCGACGCACACCGTGCTCGGCGACGACGATATGGACCTTCTCGAAGCTGACCAGCCCCGTTCTACTATCGGCGGCCCGCTGATGCCCTCCGTCGCTAACGGGGAGTCTTCTACTTGCGATAACCGATATCGTTCCCCGATGAGCCCGGAGCCCTATAGTATTTCTATTAACGATTTCGACCTGGATCCGTGGTCGTCGGCGTTTCAATTGACTGATATGTCGGGCGAAGATTCGAAGGATCGGAAAGACATCTCTACGGATGCGCCGTTGACTCCGCTGACGCCACAGACGCCACGTGCGCCGTCGACGCCGGGCGACCGCACCCCGCCGGCGGCCGCGCCGCCCGCGCCCCCCGCGCCGCCCGCGCCCCCCGCGCCGCCCGCCGCGCCCGCGCCGCCCGCCGCCGCGCACGCCGCGCTGCCGCCGCACCCCGCGCACCCCGCGCACCCCGCGCACCTCGCGCACCCCGCCCCCGCCTCCGCCGCCGCGTCGCCCGTCGAGGAACCCAATCGATTGCGCTCTCTGCTTAGTAAAAAACCGACGTCCAGTACCGCGGATAGCGGCATGAACTCCAACAATCGCATCTTGAAAGATCTTCTCAAACAGGAAGATGAAGAGGCGACTGGAAGCGAAACGTCTGCACCTCATACACCCCTCACTCCGCACACACCTCATACACCACACACGCCTGCGGCGGCGATGTCGCCGCTGCACACTACACAGTCACATTCACGACCATCGCCACATCCCCCACATCCTCCTCATCCACCGCATCCCCCACATCCTCCTCACGCTCCTCACCCTTCATCTGTGCAGCACACACTACAACAATCACATAATTCGGATGTTCTGTTAAGGGTGAGTGTGCTTTTTAATGATTTTGTTTATATTTTTGGTGAAATATATTTTTTTTTTAAGGATTCGCTAAAATGACATTTTATTTGTAGATATTAAACGATAAGTCGGACGAGGATGCAGAGGAAAGAAGAAATTCCGAAGGAAGAAGTACCTCGCAACCGAGTGCATTGCTCTCTCAATTACTTTCAAGCACAAATGGACCTGGTAATGGGCGAAGTCAAGATAACAATGACTATCTAGAGAGAATTGCTGGGGTCAAACGCAAGCTTGAAGAAAAAAGCACTTCTGGGAACGTCAAGCGAGCGACACCTGAAAATCAACAGGTTACATTCTTATTGTAGAATATATCAGAATAGCATGTAAATGTAGATGTGAGATTTGTGAAAGGAGGTATATCTTCCTAAATTGGCCATGTGGTCCATTGGCAGGTAACTTCGAGTGCCGTTCCCGTCGCATCGTCAACTCCATCTTCGACGGCGTCGAGCCCGGCGGCGACGAGTAACGCTGGCATGAGTCCACTGTGCCAGAAAAACCAAATCCTAGTATCGTTGTTGGCGCGGCAGCAGACGACGCCGACGACGCCGCTGCCGCTGCCGAACCCCAACTTGCGAGCGTACGGCCCACCGCTGGCTCGACTCCGCGCGCCGCCGCCGCACCCGCACGCGCACCCGCACCAGCAGCACCAGCAGCACCACCAGCATCAACAGCAGCAGCAGCAGCAGCAACAACAACAACAGAGACACTCACACCACCACTCCACCCTGTCGACGATACTCACCGGGCCCGCACAGTAAGATATTATATTTTTCTTAACTAATAACATTATCAAATCGAGTTCACTTCTGAATATGTTTCATTTCCATGGGACTTAAATGCTAAACAACCTGGCTTATCAGCAAGTAACTGGCGACCGTTGCCTATATACACGAACAGCACTACAGACCTTAGGTTATCAGGGCCGTGATACTCATGCGTATTGCCATTTCGGAGAAATAAGATGTCGTGCCCTTTATTCTGTAACTATGCTTAATTAGGCTTACAAAGTAAACTACTTAGCGGCTCAAATAGGCGAGACCGAGGTAACCAATGCGACGGCGTTGCACAAAATTTGTCCGAAAGAGATCGCTTAAGCGACGAGACCGCCTTTTGTAGCCATACGCTCTAAATATTGTTTAATAAATGAAGAAAGTCTACCCGAGCCACAATATTTTGTAGTCGTAATTCGGTAAGGTAACCTCGTTGAATGTTGTCGCCTCGCAGCAGTCGGGCGAGCACCGTGAACGGCGGCCCCGGGGCGGGCGCGGCGGGGGCGTCGGGCGCGGCGGGGGCGGCGGGGGCGGCGGGCGCGGCGGGCGGCGAGTGCGCGCCGCAGAGCCACCTGCAGATGGTGCTGCAGGGCTCCCGCGGCGCCTACGTGCCCGCGCCGCCCGCGCCCGCGCCCCTCCACTACGCCAACACCGCGCCACACCACGTCTACAACAACCATCCGCCGTCAGTATACTCCACGTTCTATTATACACGATAATAGTGATGTTGTTATGAGATGACAGGATCAGTGGTGAGAGTGTACGCACGGTTGGGTTGAAACTTCTGTATTTTGGTTCCTACATATTGATATCCTAAGCGACTTAAGTGACGTTAAATGCAGTGACTTACTGTATCTAACGTTACTTAAGACTACTGACTGGAATAATCTATTATCTTCCGTGCTGAAATACAATTACTATATCGCAGGACACACAGCGCGCTCGCACAGCATCATCTAGTTTCAAGTTAAGCAAAGTGTGTGTTATGGGAACTAGACTACTGATGTATAATACTTCTATCTAATACTTAGATATATATTTTTTTAAATACATGCGTAATAATTATACATAGAAAATACTCAGACCAATACAAACAATCATTTCATGGAAACAAATGTTTGTATCCATGACTATGATTGTGGTTGTACCGTAGAGCACCGAGGGCGTATAAAATATGCATTATATTATTTTCGCCACTAACTTTCATAAAATCTAATTTATAGCCCAAAGCTGTCTATAGCTAATAAACTGCTGATTTATAAGATTATCCTATAAAGTCTATGTGGACATATTTCTTCATTGTTATATATAGGGAAGCGGTTCAACCGCAAATATAAACATCATCCAAAGGTTACAAAATGGTATACTGAAGATGATATCTGGTGACCCTTGGTTTATTATGAACTAAATGGTGTAATTTACCCGACCTACAGTATAAATCGACTGACTCCTGAATTAGAAAACGAAGCTTGTTATTATTATGTAATTAAGCAGTAATTGATCACCACAATCTTAAGGTACTTATATATCCTTGATAACCTGTTCTTATACCCAATAAAAAAAATTCGTACTTCAGACATACCACAGTTGTGTTAGGAGTATAAAAAAGATTTGTGTGATAAATTAAAGAAAGCTTAAAAAGATGAGAATACATTTTCAGAGGTGGCAGTTCGCGGGCACAAGGCGGCGGCGGTGGCGGGGACAGTGAAGTGCCCAGCGATCAAACCCTATCTGATCTTCTAGACGAAGTAATCGACCATATGCCTGACTCAGACCGACCTGCGCCCGATGTTAGCGTACTAATAGATCAAGAGAGTACTAGACAATTAAGGTCTTACCAGGTTCGTAATTAAAACTGCTGATACTTTTGAAGTCAGGTGTAACCATACCATAACCCATAACCTCGACTTGTCTAAAAATATACTTTCAATTCTTTGGCATGTGATAGTATTTTGAATATTACGTAATACAATTACTATAATTACATAGTCATATTATATATAATAATATAGTGCAACATTAGTTCTAGCATGGTATAATTCTTTTACATAATTGGAATGGCAAACATGCCATATGATAGTAGCATAGTAACCGTCCACCTGTATACAGAAACGTCTCGTGATAACGTGATGTTCATGCGTTGCTATTCCGGAGTTCTAACATGTCATGCCTCTTATTCTAATACTGAGGAACTCACAGCTAAAATGTTACATTTTAAATTAATCTTAGCATGTAACAGAAAAAACAGCGTTGATCAAAAGATCATATTTTTGTTTACAGAATGATTTATACGGTATAGTGTTATTGTCGATGATTACAGGGTGTAAAAGAGAAAAATGCAATGATCAATGCAATCAGACAAAGTTTAATGCAGTGTGAAACTGTGACAAAAAGTCCCGTACCGTCGAGTCCAGGAACGCCCCCAGTTTACGACGTCCAAAGCCCGGTGAGATATTAACACAATGTCTAAAATTCTTTTGTTATAGTTATAATCAGTCAGGCGGTTGTAATGTTGCTTCTTGGGTGTAATGGACTTTTCAAATTTATAACGAATTAAATTTAGAGAATAAAAAAAGTGCAATTAACTGAGTATATCTTGTTGTACTCGCAAAGAAAATGTGATTAGCACACATTTTAGTATTTTAAATTACACCAAATTACAATGCACAAATACACCACGCACTAGGCGATAGCGCGCAAGTACTTACCTGACTGTATTTATGAAGTGCAAAGCACTACGCTTTGTCATTCCTATTGTTAACTAGATGTGGTGTTAGCAGGGGTCGTGCACCATGGGCGGCAACGTGGGCGGTGTGGGCGGCATGTACGGCAGCGCGGAGGCTGCGCGGGGCCGGGCGCTCGCCGAGCAGCATCGTGCGCGACTCCTGCAGATGCAGCGTTCACAGCAGATGCTTGTCTCTCCAGAGGTTCTTATTTATCACATACTTATTCCAGCCCTTCACACAGATGTTGGATCTAGGGCCAGTTACATAGGGCAGCGCTGCTTGTGAATGAGTCGGTACGAATAATGAGGAGTTTCCAAACTCTCACTTCTTCCGTTGATAGTATACACTTTAGTTCTACTGCAGTAGGGACTTATATCATCATTACATAGTATAAAACAATGTCTGTCTGTCCCTTTGTATGCTTAAATCTTTAAAACTTTGTAACGGATTATGAAGCTTTTTTTTATAGATAGAGTGATTCTAGAGGAAGGTTTATACATATAATACATGTATACTCGGGCGAAACCGGGGCGAGTAGCTAGTTTTTAATAAGACATCTCAACTATGTGTGCTTTAATGGTATAGGATTAGTGAATATTTCGTTGATATTTTTATTATATTTATTCCATATTCTTGTTTGAATCTTGTAGGTTAAGTAATAAGCGCTGATGTAAGTGGGTTCTTTTTCAGGAGAAATAAAGTACTAGGCTTCATCCATAGATAAATTACAATATTTTTTAATTAATTTTACTTGTTATATTGTCTCTAGGCTGCTGAGCAGCCACAGCCAGACCTGAGCTCCACCATTACTGCACTCGTATCGGGGACGCCACCTAATGTGGCTCTCACCCGCACAGCAGACTACCACCATTTATATCACCCATCCAGTGAGTGTATAATGTATAATGGTTTTTTTTTATAACTAATCTATTTTTATTGATTAGTTCTTTGAATGACTAATTTGTGTATTACAGATCAAATGGGTTCAAATTATGGTACAAACAAAATCACATCGTCGCAACAAAATCCAATGCTCAGCCGCCAGTTAAGTGTAAGTAACGATGTATATAGTATTTTGCATTTAGCCTCTTCACGTGTAAATTTACAATGTACATATGTAGTAATAACAATGAATTTGGTAAAAAACCATTGCTAAAGTAGTTATTTAAGAAATAGCAGAGGAAGAACTCAAAATTAATATATTTTGCTATATTATTATATATACTGCTGCTGTTCTCCTATCGGTCGTAGTGTATATCACGACTAATAGGAGCGGTGGATTTCAAACGGTCGGACTTTTTAAAATCCGTACAACAGAACCGGAAATTATTCCGAAGAAACAAACTTTACATCTTTATAGTATTGGTATAGTCGAGTTGTTGAATTGTATATGTGTGGCGGTAGGGCCCCGCGGGCACCGGGTACTCGGGCGGCGCGGGCTGCGCGGGCGGCGGCGGTGGCGCGGACAGGGGAGCGCCGCACTCGGTGGCGGCGCTGCACACGCCGCTCACTCCGCAGCCGCAGCCGCAGCCGCAGTACCACCGCGCGCCCACCGCACCCAGGCCCCATCTAGGTAACACATACGCTGCCACACATTATTAAACCGTGTCGCCTTTTAATCTAATCCATTCAGTATACACTGGTCAAGGAGCAAGTATGGAATACGATTTATTGTATGTGTATGTTGGCAATAATTGAGTTGTATTCGGTTTAAGATTGAAGTCCGTTTATTTGGTAATAACAAAAATTCTTTATATAGACCATTTGTTATTGTTGTTAACTATGCATATAAACTAATTTATATTTACTTTATTCAGATTTGTAAGTTACCGAAAACCGTCTGTAGCCAACAGTACCGATATCTTTATTACTTAAAATAATATATATTATTATGAACGCCCTAATTCCATATTTTAATTAATTTATTATACTTTTAATTTTCTATCTCAAGTATTATTTTAAATATTTATAAAAAAGGATATAATTACGAAAGGTTACGTATCAATTAAAGTAATACATTGAATGAAGATTATCTGGTTTATTTTCATTTATAATTAAGTAGAATAAATATAATCTATTTTCTAACCTAATTATAATTGTTACCTTTAATTGTGAGTAAATTATTATAGACTGTAAGTTATTTAATATCATATTACATCGTTAGGGAACCAAGACAGGTTATATCGCTTCTCTCCACTACTCCATGAAGCAGGTAGCTTATAGACGTAAATTATAAATAAGAGATATAAGTTTATTCAATTGATAGCCTTTTATATAAATACAAACATTAATTTGTTTAGTAGTTGTAATAAACTCTTTATAAAACAAGTATAAATCAGTCTGATCCAATTATTTCTTCTGTATGGTATGCTTTATTATTGACAAATACTAAAATTAACTTTTAAGGTAGATATAGATATTAGATTTTTTTATGTATAATTATAATGAGGCTTGTTGATTATATTCTAAATCGAAGCATGAACTTCTGAGAAATGTATTCTTAAGCATGCCCCGTAGTATTTTAGAAATAGTATTTATTGGATTCGGGCTTTCCGAATCTACATACCAATCTAAAACTAATTGCATGGCTTCCAATATCTTCATGTATTCAACTCGTGAAATCGAGGATCCGAGATCGACGCGATCGTTCGTGGGCCCGTGAAGGGACGTGTTGTCGAGAGTGAAACTGCGTCTCCGCGTTTCCAGTGTATATATATATTTAAATATTTAGTCATATACTTAGACGTCACGTAAATTCAAGAGCGTACACAATCGAGACATTCGCCGAAACCGAGCATGGAAATCGAATTCGGAGTTTCGCTACCGACAATTCCGGGGAAAGCGGGCCCGAGATGCGACGAAGTAGGTAGGTTCGTGCGACGCGAACGCACTGCGCGATAGGTAGCGCGTAGTGATAACGCAGCGTGTGTGGCAGTGGACGGCTACTACGAGGAGGGCGGCGCGGGCGGGGCGGGCGGTGCGGGCGCGGGCTACTGCGGCGACTACGCGCGCCGCGCGCCCCTGCCGCCGCACGCGCCCCACGCGCCGCACGCGCACGCGCTCGCGCACCCGCCGCACGCGCACGCGCCGCACGCGCACGTGCCGCACTCGCACGCGCCGCACCCGCACCACGACCCGCCGCTGCCCTGTGAGTACAGCCCCTCGCCCCGCGCCCCGCCGCACCCTCATGGAATCTACTCTACATCATGCACTCTACTCTACACCGCTCCTCGTCCGACTTCGATTGGAATGTTTAGCGACGGTGATTTATTTAGAGACACGACGGACCTGCAGTCTAGGGCTTTACCTTCAGATTGCTGTCGTAAACTACACTAATTTTAAATATTTATCTTCTTATTCTACTGATATATTCATATTACGATTTTATTCATTTCTGTACGTACTGTCGTGATCAACTAGCGACAATTAAAGGTCTTTCCATTTTCGTTTTAAGTATATTTAGCACATAGTTCGATATGTTGATGTATTGCGAAAACAATTTAATGGGAACTAGCTCCCTTACTTTCTCTTTCCATTAATCAAAGATGTACTAAGTATTTAGCCCGGAAACAGCTACTTCTTTTTAATGCTAGTAGCATTGAAAGGAAGACAAAACAAGTATGCTACTCCTAAACGCATCGTGTATTTCGGCAGAAATATTACATATACAATCAATAGCCATATTTTATAGAAAAAGAATGTCAATTATGAATTTAATCTTCTAAAAATGTCAGAACTGATGCTATCCAAAAACACAGTTCAAATTAGTTGAAAAATTGTTGAAATATCGGACTTCAATTAGTTGATCACGACTGTATATGACGGGAAGGTAAGACAAAAGTAGTTGCAGATTAATACGAGAATGGTGGTAGTGACTTTCATATTACTTTATTTTTCCTAACTATCGTTCTGCATGATTAAACTTTGCATTCGCTTAACGATCTTCGCTTCTCTGGAGCGATCGAGCGCATACGCGGCAGCGTGTGCGTTTGCAGATCGGTAGAGGGTTACGCTTTTAGTCTTGCTAGGTTGGATCAGTCTGTTGAAGTGTGTAAAGAGTGCTCGGAGCGGCGTCAACATCGCGAAGGAAAAAAAAAGATACTGTATCTGTCGAAGCGGTGTAACCACAGAGTCACTAAGGGCAACGTGGCATGGTATAGGTGCAGGGAACGGGAGTGGAGCCGGAAACGCTGGCGGCGCGGGCGGCGCGGGCGGCACGTCCGAGTACGTGCGCAACGAACTGCGCGCGGTCGTCGGCGCGCGCTCCGCCCGCCCCGACCTGCATCCGCCCATGCCGCCCTCCGACCTAGACCAGCTCATGTCCTTCGACATGTCTTCTAACGGTTAGTGATACCACTTGGTTAACTTCTTGATTCTGATTGGTTTACTACATTGACATATTGCAATGATTAACTTCTATTTTATGTCAACACTTAATAACATACTAACATATTAAATACTTATAAATGACTAAAATATATCTTAAAATAGCTATTATAGAATGTGATAATTTCGATTCTCAGTACATGAAGCGACATTAAAACTAAGCGAGCAAAGCTCAATACGAATGATTACAAATTTTCTAACGGAGACGCGTATTTCTAGACGGAATAGTGTCTCATATGCCACCATTACTATTATTTTATTTATCATATTTTATCTGCGTTATCTTCAAAAGATACACTCTCTCCTGTTTTGAATTCTGTAAGTACAGACATGTAATATTTTTATTTACATCTAATATTTTTATACTATTGTTAGTTGCCTACTTAGATTGTAGGATATAAAATAAGTATTTCTGAAATGATTGTGTATTTAGTAAATTATCTATTATATTTAAGTTTATAATCACACGACTAGGTAATCAAAAACAATCACAACGTTTAAAGTTTCAACATGACATGCTAAGTATTCGCTCGGAACATAGGCGAGCACTTTATTATTTTTTCCGGATTAATGTAGTTTATTGTCGATATTTTTCATCACCCAGGGAGTTAGGTAGAAATTTAAAATGATACACGTAAGTTTTTGTTGAGGCCCACATTGGTTCTCTCTAGACCTTTTTGGTCTATAACTTGGTGCAGTAAATCAGGCATGAGGGATGTTATAACTTTAACAATAGCTTACTTTACAGATTAGGTTGTTAACCGTTGAGTAAAGTATTATTTTAATATTGTTGTTTTTGACTTCCCGCTATTTTATTGAGCGCTTCTCAGAAACAACTCTAAAAACCATGTAACTACTAGGCATTACAAGCAAATTAAATGTTAAAGTTTGCAATTCTACAATTGCCGTAACCCAAGTAAAAACTTGCGTTATGGCAATGGTTTGCAAATCCATGATTTTGTAGAAAATATAAACAATGTTTAATATAATATCAACAAAGATCCATTTTTGGAATACATGAAAGACATTTTTTATCTATTATTTGTCGCTGTCTTATTATACATAAGACAGCGTTTATGAATTATTATTACTAGAGGATTATTAGTAGGATTATTAGTAGATTATTATTGCTTAATATAAAATTATAGTTATTAAAGAAATGTAAACTATTTCTGTGCCGGTCTGCCATTTATTAAATATATATGTACAGGACTGTAAATACTTTTGTTTAAGATAAAAAATAGACTAGACCATAAACAGAAGATTTATACCAGAATAATTTATTTCCGGAATGTTGTTTTTATTCTCTATAGATATGACATGTAATAAATATGGTAATTTTAATAAATAGAAATAGGACAATTTTTTTTTTATGTTACAATACAATTGCAGTTAATGTAAGGTTTATAATGTTGTCAATATAATATTTTAAATTTGCTGTTTTTACTGTTATACATATATTTTAACGGTGTCTTCATCAATGTTCTACACGAAATAAAAATTGAAGAAGTTGGTAATATGACGAGTCAACATTGCCAGTGTAGGGGATTATCACTGCCAATGTATACGTGTGTACGTATGTAGGTGGCGGCAGTGTGGTGGGGGGCCGAGCGTCCTCTACGTCGGCAAACACGTGGGAGTCGCAACAAAGCACCCCGGTAAGCTTGGGACGCGACTAGCGAGACCAATTTAGCCACTCCACTACTTTCTGTCGGTTTATTTTTTTTGTAGAATATCTATAATTATTATTACGTACTGAGTCTGCTCTGCTGCGTGTGTTGTCGAGTCGTCATCTTGATACTTAGATGCTACTTTAGAGAAATGTGCCAAGTACATACTCAAGATTCATTATACATGCAGAAATTCCTATAAAATTTATTTATTTATATTATTAAGAAATTTTGAATTTCAAAATTAAAGCAGGATCGCGTTTATGTCATTTTATTGGTACATTTCTGAGTATATTTATAAGCTTCTGTGATGTGATGTAATATAATATTTCTTGAACTAGTGAAACCTATTTTATATTATTTTTTACTATGTCTTCAAAATATTTAGAAGTACGAATTAGTTAAGTTATGAACTCACTCGCTTTTAGGTTTGAATTGATAGAGATATAAAACATTGTAAGAATCTTTTATAAGCTTTTCATACTTCAATCGGGAAAACATAGCATGCGCAAATTATAAATTATGGTGAAGGTTTTGTGATGTTGTAGTCTATTTATAAAATATAACAACAACACAATACAAAGGTATTATAATTTTGCAATAGATAGACGCTTATTATTTGCTTCTGACATGTTACTTTAGTGTTAAATTCTTATAATACTTAAGTAGTAGTTCTATTCATAAAATGATTGCATGGCGACGTTGAAAATTTCGAATTATGTCAATTTTTTTGGAAAAAAGCAATAATGGTGGCAATCAAACAGACCTGTGAAAGCCTGTAAAGATGAATCGGTTATAGGTTTAACATATGTGTACTTCAAGTCTGTTTAGATTTCTATAATTTCGAGCCTATATTTTTTATGTATTATATGCTTTTGAGTGACTATGATCATCTTACTCGATAGTAAAGGATCGTTTAATTATCATATGTTTATGGTAGTTTTGACAATACATTATTGCAAAATTGGCTTATCAATCAGTACAGTTTTAAGAACATTAGTATTGGAAGAAAAACTAGTACGTTATATATTTTTAGCATAAGTTTTAGTGCTTATTTTTTTCTATTCTATCGTATACGTACTAGTCAGAGTAAACAGCGAATACAATACGAAATTTAACTAAGTACATTCACATTATTTCTTTGAAATTACTTTAGTTGTCTGTGATTTCGAAACCTAAATTAAAATTGATCCTATCGTCTATTGGATGAGTTTGGAGTTACATATGCTTACACTCACAGCCTCCGTATGTATGCATAATAAATTGATGTGTTTTTATTGATAAAAGATTCAAAAGAATACTTTATTTTGTCCTGAAACTTATTTAGTAGCGACATTGTATTAAAAAAATATTACAAATGCATATAATTATTGTCTGAAATTTTACAAATTTAAAATAGTTTTGCTATGACTACAATATCGGTTATGTTAATATCTGATATTATATATAAGTTAATCTCGTTGAGCTTATTATTAATTGAAAATATAAAAATATGCGTTTGAAAGGCAACAAAATTATTTCTGATGTTATTGTTTCTCAAAATTTTAACGGTATATTGCAATTGTTTTTGTTTTCATTTCTTTATTTTACTTATGGAAAAGGTAGAGCCCCAAAGAAAAAATATAGACTATAATTTGCAGTCATATAATTTTAATTTATTTCATATAATATTTAGTAACAAGCAATTACATGTTGCTTATTTGACGATCGTAGGATGATTTAAAAGTGTTTAATATGGTGGAATTGTGACGCGCAGAGTACTACGGAGGCGGGCTCGGCGGAGGCGGCGTCGGCGGCGTCGGCGGCGGGCGGTGATGAGGCGCAGCCGGCGGCGGCGGCGGCGGCGGCGGCGGCGGCGGCAGCGGCGGCGGCCGCGGTGGCGGAGGGCGCGGCGGCGGCCGCTAAGGCCTCGCTGCTGCAGAAGCTGCTCTCCCAGTGATGCGCGCCGCGCCACCCGCTCCCCGCACGCGCGACCGTAGCCGCGCCCTCTCACTTCCACCCTCGCTGAAGTATGCATTTATTATACGTTTCGACGTCGCGCACGGACGATCATCGACGTTATCAAAATTCCATCGCAACGAATTTCGTCGTTCCGAGTTCATGGTCTACGCGGTACCTCTGTGGCTGTAAATCTCACTCTCGTGAGACCGATATAGTACACGTATTTATATAACGTCTTGCGACACAGTCTAGTAGTGCTAGTGATATTTTCGAGTTGTAAAAATTTTGTTACGATACGTTCCGTCTCGACTTCTCTAAGAAGGCTGAGGCGTTTAGTTAAGTTAACTTTATCTATGTATGTACAATATACCTCTTATAATTTTAGCTAAACACGATGCAAAATATAATGGTAGCTTCCTGTGACGGAATAAAAATAAGTGATTTACTATTACGATTGTCCTGTACGTTTAGTACGCATACACAACATACAATAGAAATATTCCGCGTGCAATATTGTATAGAAATAGAACACATATTTTGGCGTTGTGAACGTTATGTATTATAGTTCGAAGTCAGATGTTACCTGTTATGACAAAGTAATTGTATTATAGTATATAGACGTCGAATGGAAGTTTCTCAATCGATAATATTATTTTTATGTGTGTAAATAATATGTTGTTAAATTATAGCTGTTGCTTTATTGTAAATATTTTGTTACAAACATTACATTGTGTTTAATGTATCGTACCTATAATTTCATGTAACATTTAAACAATTTATTGATATTCATTAAAATATATATAATTTTATAATTTTACATTATTGTTCTTATGTTTTATGCCCATCTGTCGCAGGTTAGTATTTATTCAGCGTAGTTTGGTGTATATTATAACCACAGATATAAAACTTTAGTAGAGATACAATGATTGGAATTAAAATTTAAATAATAATATTATAAAAACATTCAACAAATTGTTACAATGTCAAATTATTTTATTAAACAACATAATATGCTTTTATGAAATAATAAATAATAATAAGAAAAATGAAATAATTATATTAAGATTAATTCTAGTAGAGTAAAATGTAAATCCATAAAATAAGCACAATTTTGGTATTAGAATGAAACAAACTAAAAATTGACAGATTTAATTAAATTTCCAATTGCAAATCGTACATAATAAATTATACTTGATGTTTCATACTGAAGCTATTTTTGCAAGGAAATATACATTGATGTGCAAAATATCCAACCACCTGTAATGAAGCATAACAGCGTTATTATATCTGTGTTTATAATATTAGTGTGTACGATAGTCACTTATTTATCCCTATGAAATTTTTCATAAAACATGTATATTAACGACATTACCTATGCAATCTATTGTTTGGCAGTGGTTATTTATTGCTTCTGATATGAAACAAATACAAATGTGTGTAATAAAAATGTAAATGGGACTAAACGCTATTACCATCGATGGTACAACGGAACACATAGTATTAGAGACATCACACTGATGATTTGCTTCAGAATTAATGTTAGGAATTCAAGAATTTAACTTTGTAATTGTGGGAAATGTATATGCTGTCTATGAATTGGTATTTTAGCTCGATTGACATATTATTTATATTTTGAATATAATTATGTAACTAAAGAAAATCATTAATTATAACGTGTTGAAATTAAGTCGCGAGTGACGCGTCTAAGAGAATAATTAAAGTATTGGACATCTATAGTCCTTCACTTACAAATATATTGCTGTTTTATTATAAAGGATAATCGAGGTGTCATGTCGTAATCCAGAAGTTGGAAAATTATGATACAAGCAGCATACGTAATTATATATATTAGGTATTTTCAACAAAAGCTATTGCGCATGCGCTTTGTCGTGCGGGGAAGATGGACGCAGTGGTAATGGTGCGATGTCACTGAAATGTGCAAATGTGAATATAAACATCTACGTTTGATGTCATCATTGGTAAATTTAAAATTTAAGCACCAATTATTAGCAGTGTTTTACTTGCTTCCACGGACAGTGATATCGACGTATGGCTGTGAGTTCTTATTGTTGGAATTTATATTATTATTGAAATATATTCATACTTCAAGCATTTTAACTACGAAACAAAAGATGATCCCTTCGTTATTACTGCCCGTGAATGCGATTTGTTTCAATATTTACAATTTAAGAAATTTAGAATTGCACAACGTTATAATTATAATAATTATTACTATGTGTAAATGTTCCATAATGTAACGTACATAATTAATGATGGCTGTAAGATCATTTGAATGTGGTGTCATGGTGTGTTTTCCTAATCGGTCTAACGCGCGCAATTTAATCTTTTGATCATATGTTATACCTAATTTAATTACTTAATGTAAGATCTAATGTTTGTTGTTCCCTCACATTGTTACTATGGGGACCACAGCTGTGACACTCCTAATAGGAAATATAGAAATAGTTACACTTGTAATAATAAAACATTTTCTACAGACGATGTTTACAACACGTCGATTTATATTGCTACATTATTATAGATTGCGTAGAACGAGAAACTAAACATTAAATCCCTTGACAAGTGGCAATAACTTAATGCGGGCTGTAAGTACTTAAGTAATACGAGTGTTGGCTCATTAGACATATGAAGACTAATGTTTCCTGATAATGTTGCTTCACAATAATATGTCGCTAGTACACTAACCGCAATGGATAGTTGTAGACCCACAGTAAATTGTGATTTTTATTACCTACCTAGTAATGAACGTACAAATAATATGTGTAGATTATCCATAAAGCAAGTTAACGTATAATCAGTATAGGACATAAAATATTTTTGTACCATTATGAGATAACAAATCTGAATGTTTAGACTATTGACCAAATTCATTTACATGTTATTGTTACATTGAAAAACGTGTTAATAGAAACGAAAGTGGTTATAATAGTGAGAGATAGCTTTACAGTTCTATGACCGTAGCAGTATAAAGTTTCATTCCATTTACACTATGCGGTAAGAATACGCGTCATAATGTGTTATAGCTAAATAGCTAACCGATAAAGTACAAGTGATGGCCTTGTTACGTCGACAACGTTAATCAAAATAGTTGAGAACTAGTCGAGTCTACCTACATTTATATTTAAATACATAGCCTATTTTATTGAAACATTAAATATAAAAGCACGAAATGCCCTCAATTAGCTTATGAACATTTCGATGTGAACGGAATGTACATGAAAAGTTATATTTTTTGCAGATTTACGATAACGTATCTAGTTTATGTAATCAAAACTATCTGAAATGTTCGGAAATACGTCCATGTCATTGATTAAAATTGGTTTTCCATAAATTGTAATGTAAATAAATCGAAACTATAATGACGAACGTATAGGTGCCTGAAAATATAGATAAAACATATTTTTTCAAAACCCACAAAATGGAGAAAATATTTAAAGATTATATTCAAATAGATATTAGCAAAACAAGCACGAAATATTGATTATTACATTATAAGGCAAAACGTAATTTCCATTAAAATTGCTGCTAATCGAAGTTTTTAAGGTAGGTAATTGAATAAAATAATTTCATTGTAAGTTGAGAATAGGTACTGTAATATAAAGAAATTTGACAATAGCTACTAATGCACTCTGCAATATTTTCGGTGTAACATTTTCGCGTACTATAATATAAAGTAGCGTGTAATAATGAAATGCTCACTGATCAATCATTCAATTGTTTGTAGTAATTTCGTCATGGGAGTAATTCCTAATTATTTTAGCTCTAGGAGTTCTTTTTTCTTAAAAATGTCAAACGAATTAAAGTATAACTTGGTAAATTATTGTCTTCCAAAATAGAAATTCACGAATATTATTTGAATAAATAGTAGTCACTTTCACTAAGCTAACAGTTATTACAAGCGCCCCAGTCTGCATCATATACTTAACTTAGCAGCACCGAACAGTTCAATTTGGTCCGTACATAGTTAAGATGTAAATGCAACAATTACAAAAGTATTAAAAAAGATATAGGTTCGTATATCCTCCAATATTTTCAATAAAATTAAGTGAAAGCAATGAATGTCTGCAAAAACGCCCAAGCGATTTGATCAAGCAGGCACATATTACTGCTAATAACTGAGGATTTATTAGAACCGTCTCCATCTACTGTGTTACATTTTAAATTAGGTTTTTAATTGAACTGTTTGACTGTTTACAGAGTTAAATAATAGGAAAGCCTATATTTTTGGCCATTGAAAACTAACACATGTAAAAGGAGCGGTGGAAATTTGTTGGTAGGTGTGGTATGAGTGAGAGATGGACCAGGCAGTTATGCACACATGCATTGTTATATTGGTTATATGTTAACATCACATCGAAAATTTCCATCGTTCTTTGTTCTTTTCCATCTATTTGTTCATTTGTTTTTTTTTATAAATATGGAGCGGTTCTTTCGTTGATCTTTCAAACAAACTACAAATATGTTGTAACAAGATATTAACTTAACATATTGAATATCACAAGTATTGTTAACTAACAACTCACCGATTGTACGCACATGTTTAATGGAATACCAGCCTAAAATGTATTTGAATAAAAAGATATTATTCGCGTGGAAATTGTCTAATATTATAAAAAAGTTTTAGAAGATATTCATCTTAATGTAATGGATTGTAATACCTCATTGTAAAAATGTTATAGTGGATAGTTAAAGTTGTACAAATCGCTACAATACCATTCAGAAATGTTAATATATCTTAGTCATTTTATTTTATTATAAAATACAATTAAATAAGTAACGACTTTACTATTATATATAAGATTGATGAACTATTTGGAGCTATTAATGGTAATGTCGAGTATATAATTAAATCA